GTTTTACTTTAAGTTGTACTTTATGAATATATATAAACCTTTTCAGCTGCTGGAGTACCAAGAAAACTATTGGATCCTCCTCAATGTAGATATTAGACCTGAAAGTCTGCTCTTGTAATATAGGGGATAAAAAACCAAATCATGTGTTCTCAGCTGAAGTCAGAAGGGTCTAATAAACTGTGACAAGTCAGGGCAAACTCTGTTCCTGGAGCAGTTTTTGCCTTCTTTTGGCTTCTACAGTTCATCTTGTAGCTGAGGATTTTTAGAATGAGCTGCTTCATGGGAAAGAAATGAGGGGAAACAGCATTAGTAGGAGTTATGTTTACTAAGCAAATACAGGGGAAGGGCATCTACTATAGCAACTGAAGACAGGGGCTAAACCTTCTGGGATGCACATGCACACAGAAGAGCAGCTAATTCGCTCCTTAGGGCAGGAGCAAATGGGTCACCTTGCCAAAAGACACAATTTGAAATTTTCCACAGGCACAAGGAGTAGCACTTAAGTCTTCAGAACAATACAGTAGTGCTCATTTTCCAATTCATACCACAAAGCAAGCAATTACAGTCTTCACTACTTGGTGTTTCTAAATGGGATTCAACTCTCAGAGCACGCATGGAATATTTTCCTTAAAGCTATCAGGAGTGTCTTACTCTAACATTTTAGAATCAGCTTAGAATAGCTGGGTTCAGTTTCCAGCTTATGTAAGAGTTAATTTTCTCTCTTTCTGTACAAGTTTTACAATGAGCTACTGTCACAGTGCGTGTGAATGGTTTATGATGATTTGCCCCATGTGGCTTTCTGCTAGAGGCAACTGAAAGAAAAAAAATGAGCCACAAAAATGCCAATACAACTACAATCTCCACACAAACTCCCTTTTCTTTAGAACATCATTTATTGTTACTCATCTTTAGTGAAAGAAAAGACAAAAAACCACACCAGTATGGAACATGTAGCACCATGGGGGTTCTAGTCAAACCCAAACTATAATGTGAACAATTGTTGCTTTGGTGTTAAAACTAGCAAGCTAGTGTAACAAAATCCAAGTAGCAAGTCACTGGAGGAAAAGTGATGAGGAAAGAAAAGCTGCTTATGTTAATTAAACAAAGAAAATCTGCCTGGCAGACAAGAACAGCTTAGAAGCAAATGAATTTAAAATATGTATCTATTTCTTGGTGTTCCCTGAGCACACAGAAAATATATGTGCTCACTCATTCAGTCTTAGGGATTAAAGAAATGGCTGGGCATGTTGACTAAATCCAGGGAAGATGATCTTTAATAACAAAAATTCATGCATGTCCACCCCCTGGTGTTGTGAATGAAGTTCTGGAAGAAAAGAATAGAGATCTTGTACTTCTTTTGAGTGGCAGGATACATCACAAATTAAAATATATTTTTAAAATTATATTATTACCCAAAATAAGGAAAAAAGATTCTGCCAGACCTTACCATGAGGCACCAAAACCTCATGAAGAGAAAGCCCATTCATCAGAAACCAGGCTCCATCAGTACAGCTGCTCACTCCTTACTGAAGTAGTGAAGAAGACATTTACCTCAGGTTCTGAGCTCAGGTAGCTCAGGTTCTCCCCCCACTCCCACAAACTCTTTTGCCAACTTGATCCCTGTGTTACAGGAACCCATTGTGAAACATTAGGTTATGTCAAGAGTCAGGTTTTCATTAATTTAATTTCTTCTCAGACTTGAGTGAATAACCAAGAGAATTAGTGAATCCCATACACTTTCAAGAATGCATTTTACTACCTTTTACATTTTTCACTAATTGAAATTAAATATTTTTTTTTAGAAAAGCCTTCAGTAATGACACATTAACTGTGTATTTGACATAGGCACACATTTAAAGAACAACTGCAGCATATTCCATGGTAATCATATTGAGAATAGTTACATAGCAATTTTATATACTTACCATTGTAGACGTACTGTAATCTGAGACACTTAAAAAATGTTACAAAAAAAAAATCATACATGACTTGAGTAGAGACAGTAAGACTTCTAGGTGATTGTTTGCTATTGAATAAACAGCCAAGAATTTCCAACTCATAATATTATCACAGAATGCTTTTATTTTTTCTGAAATGATAAAATTAATATGGCTGTTTCCAAGTCACAGTTGTTGGTTTTATTTATTTTAGAGCAGGGATTTCCAGTGTAACCACACAGGACCAAAAACTTGATGTACAGTGGCATTTAGTTATCTGTTACAACATCCTGCTGTGGCCATGTGAATCTCCATTTAGGCATTTCTACTTTATTAACCTTACAAAGAAGAGTGAAATATGGTGCAATAAAATTGTTATAATCAACCTGAATGACAACATAGCAAGCATGGAACAGGATAGCCACACACACACGATTCTTCTGTTCTTCTGGAGTTGTGATAATTTCACGTATTTGTACAACACTTTACCACTATAAGTGCTAATAAGTGGTGAGTTTGTTTCAAATACTTATAGATACCTTTTTGATTACCTTGTGTTTCTAAGATATTAATTATTTTTTGTGCTGAATAATGCATACATTACTACAAACCTCATGAGCACATTTTACTTCATGAGATTTTCTGGTAAGCACATAACAAGCCAAGTCTTCCAAAAGCTTTTGATTTTCCAAGATATTAGACCTCTAATGGCATTGGTATTCTGCCAATGATGGCCATGGCTATTAAACAGGTGAGTAATAAATAGTGTGCTTAACAGGACTAGGACAGTAGCAAAGGGACTGTAAAGAGATATTGTAGAAGCACATAGTGGGAGGAGGAGCAGAATAGGCTCGTATGAAGCAGTGGCAAAAGCCCAGATTCACTGGTTTTTGAAATTCTTCTTTTGCCAAAATGATTAATCAAAAAAGAAAAAAAAGCCATACGAAGAAACAGTTTCAAAACTACATGAGGGTTATTAACAAAATTATCAGTAACAAAAACCAAACCAAAACAAACAAAACAAAAGAACGAAAATACCCACCCAACCAAACAAAAAACCCCAAACCCAAACATATTTCAAATGTCTGGGGACAAAAAGCATTATAAAAGTAAAATAATTTTGAAGAAGTGGAAATGTTCTCTCCTTCCTGCAGCACTGTGAGTCCAAGGCAAACACTCACAAACCACAGAATGTCTCCAAGTTTGCTGTCTCTCATCCACCAGACTTCTCTGCTCATCAGCCTCAGAACTGAGCCTTTATTCATGATCAGTTTTATTTGGCTCTCAGAGAGCAAAAATGCAAAGAGTGCTTAGAAAAGAGTTACTTCCCAAACAAAAGTGAACTGGTGAAAAAGCTAATGGTAAAAAAATTGCTATTACAAAAGCACATACATACCTCAAGACCCAACTACTTTCACCTTTCAAAGTTTGCTTGACTGTAAAAATTCACCCAGTGTCTACAGAAGTGAACCACCTGAGTACTTGCAATTCAGGTCAGCTTTCATTACTAGATGATTTGGAGCACTTTCAATCATGCTGAATTCTTCTTTGCATTTTTAAGTGAAAGAAGATTGAGCTAAATCACTATCTTGTATGAGTCAGTGCTGTTAAATTAAAAAAAAAAAAAAAAGAAACCAAGCAGATTACAAAGACTTAATATTACAGTATGCGGTTATTCATGACTAAGCCTCTGTCCAGGAGAACAGGAGAAGGAATCCCAAAATTGTTTAACACAAGCAACAAGACACAGTAAGTAATAGCCAATTATTTAACCCACAGTCTCTCTGAGGATCATCTAGCTGAGTAGAGAAGCCATTAAGAAAGTTTTGCAGGGCATCTTTTTCTTTGTATTTCCAGGTGTATTACTACAGGAATTCATTTGAAGCAGAACTACAAGCCATTTCTAGAATTAAATATACTGTTATTCATTTCAGATGTATAATAGTGCAATCATCATTATACAAAGGGAGCATAAAAGTGAAGGGTACATTTATTTAATTGGTATTTTCAGGAACATCATGGATTTCTTCAGCTCTATGGAGCATTTGAAAGGATAAGCTCTGTATTACCAGCTTCACGCAGTGCTATTTTAGTTGAATCTATGTAACAACTGCAAATATCTAAAGTCACATTACACCCAGCAGGTGAGAAGTACCTACCATGACAGAATTCAGATACTGTATATTTTCATCCTTAAAGATATTAATATATTCAACCCCCTTTTTTAAAAGACACTTCAGTCTCCACTTTCTGTAAATCAAGACCCAGCAAAGTTGCAAAACTGGAGTAAATGCTGGCCAACTCCTTAGCATCACATCAGTTCCTTTTCTTTCAATATCAAGAAAATTAAAAGGAATAGTTGAGGCACAAGTGAATTTTATGCAGAAGTATAGAAGTATTTCAATAAGTAGGCTAAAACTTCAGTATCTAACTTCTTTTAAAAAAAGACATAGATCATAGGTATATGATCATAGTCATAGATCACAGTTGCTGCAGTCTTACTGGATTGCTTTTTTTCTTCCCCTAAGATGAAAAAATAAACTGGTTCACAGAACTTACCAAATCCACTTTATACTGCCATTTCACATAGTTCATGTCTAATCAGAGCAAAGTACAAACCCATGCTTCAAGGGCGCCTGAAAGCATTCTGCTACCCCTGACAATGAACTATTTCTTCAGCGAAGACAGCTTCAGTGAACCCAGTAATGCAGAGGAGAGTCCATCCAGCTGAACTGACGTAAATGTAGCACGTAAAACTTAGCATGAAAGTGCACTGGCAACAAGCTTTTGGGAATAAGCTCATATCATAAGAGCTTGTGCTTGAAACTACTTTTACAGCTATGGTTATTTTTTCTGTTAAGAGGCACTGCATAAATATGGAGTCATTCATCTAATGCACTTATTATTTCTCAGATGAGGACTATTGCAGTTTTACCCTATGTCTAGGTGTGATAATACTTTGGTTTGCTTTACAGCAGTAGCATTGCACTAGCAACACAGCTGATACTAAAGAGAAGGCTGAAAACATTGCAGACTGGAGCTGAAAAACCCCAGTCTGCTCCTTTACTTCTTTTCATGCTTCTTGGTTAGTTTTCCTCGTTCTAGTTGGAGACTTGTACTGGTGTTTGTTCGCTTCTCCTTTTGCTGGCTCTCCTGGGAAACTTGTTGCACTGCTCGGAGGATAGCAGTCTGCACAATCTGCTTGCTGGCAATCTGCAGCTTAACTTCATCTTGCTCCGTCCCTGGCTTCTCACCTGCCAGAGCCAAACAAAAGAGAAAGGAAACTAAGAACTTGGGGCTAGTCCATGAAAACATGAAGGACAGAAAAGGTGTGGGGGGGAACCAGAGAGACTGGGGACAGTTTATTACATAGGAAACCTGTCAATACTGAAGATGAATTAGGGTGGAAAGTGCCTCTGTGTGCTCAGCACCACAGGATGAATGACAGGGGAGACTTTGAGTCAGCTCAATTACACACTCCCAAGCTCTGGGGTAGCTGTGACTTCACAGCTGAAACAAGCACAGATGTGTTTTGCAGTCAGACAGGAAAAGAAGGTTTCTCATCCAGCTGTGAATCACATCCATCTTGACTTGAGATGTGCTTCTGGATAGGGAATTGGACTTTATTTTGCAAGCCTAACATGTACTCCCTCACCACCATATAGAAAAAAACTGCTTCATTAACATTTTTTACTTTTACTTCAGATTGAAAGCCCTCATCCATCAGATTCCAATTGACTTGAAGGTACAAAATTTTGTTTAGTGCAGTTTATTAACCCTTAGACAGATTTTAAAAAATATCTGCAAAACATTAAGGAGGTAGGTAAAACAGAGAACATTTTCTATGGCAACCTGACAAATATGTATTTTTATGTGAAACTTCCTTGTTTGGCTAAAGTGTTAAAATCTGGATTAAAAAAATGAAATAATGTAGTGTGATTGACATCTGGTAATGAAGAAGAGTAGTTTATTTTAACAGGTTTCTCTTTAAAAGTATTTTGACTCCTAACATAAATGGCAATTTGGACTATAAAGAATGCTCCGTAATGGTCAAAGCTGACACTGATTTTAAAAACATTATTCTGACATACACTTATTGGCATATAGGAAACCAGTTGCTAATTGAAATGCTTAGACTAGGTGCTATTTACACCACTAGATTTGAATTTAAAGTTTTTGAAGGTATTCATCTCAGTTCTTTCTTAATTGACTGTTATGCTCAAGCATTTCATTAAATAGGATTTTTAGTTTACTGTCTGTTTTAATGACATATATTAGGGATTGTGTCCTGAGAGAAATCAGAGTGAATTAAATGTCAGGTGCTTTTATGAGAGGCATATATCTGAAATTGTGATAAATTTACAATGTTCTTTCAGATTTATTTTTTTTCAAGGAAACTTAAGATAGGAAGAAAAGAATCACTTGTTTCCTTAGAGAATATGCTATATGCTTGAGGGAAGAGACAAGGTCCTGCACCTGGGTCAAAGTAATGCCTGACATCAATGCAGACTGGGCGGTGAATTTATTACCAGCAGATTTGTGGAGAAGTACTTGGGGACACTAGTAGATAAAAAACTGGAATTGGGATGGTGTGTAACCCAGAAATGTGTGCTGGTCTTTACAAAAAGAGTGTGGGCAGGAGGCAAGGGAGGTGATTCTATCCCTGTGCTCAGCTCCTGTGAGACTCTGGTGTACCATGTCCGGGTCTGGGGTACTCATGATTATAAAGACAAGTAAGAGGTTAAAACCTGTGAAAACATAGAAAACATGTTTTAAACTGGAAAAGCTGACTGAAAAAAATCACTTGAGTTCTTGGCACAGTCAGCTTTCCTGATTCAGTTTTTTCTGCTCCTCAGCACTTGAAACAGTGTGGTTTTGGATGGAATTAAATGTTACTTAACAGTTACAGTACACATAATTCTTTACTACTCAAATACAAACTCACATTTTAGCGCACAATGAATTAGTCTTCTTGCTTGGCTGAAAAAGATTAGTCAACACATCTGATGTTCAGAAGATAATGTATTAGCAAAAGCATGGATAAACATGAAATTTGAAATACAAATGAGTATGTTGGAATAGGCAATGAGGTTATATGAAATGTGAAAAATGTGCCAATTGTCAAAGCCACAGACCCCCCCAGAATTTATTGCTGAAAACATACTGTCATTAAGCACATCACTATGGAAAATTACTGTTTGCTGTCCTCAGGGATGCTTCATTATTTATTTGGTCCTTGCCAATTAATCTACAACATCTGATGTTTAAATATTTTTACTTCAGAAAGGTCATCCATAGCAACACTGAGTTGAAAAAAAAGTTTTCTAGGGCACTTCTCCCTGGGCTTTTCAGTTGTTTATTTAGGAGAAAAACCTGTTTGAAAGCACCACACAGATAAGTGAGATATAGATATGCCTTCTCAGCTCTAACTCATTAGGTGATTCTTTTATTTGATAACCAAGAACAGAGAACCCAAAGCCTGTGGACTACCTCTGCCCAGCCTCTGAGGGTTTAGGTATGCATAGAAAGGAAATGAAGCCACTTGAATAAACTTATTTTATATTTGTGTGAAATGGTTAGGATGATGGCAACCCAGATAACATAATAAATTGGCTTCAGGCACAGAGAGAATCAAAGCTGTTGCCTTGGGGTGATGTGACCAATGAGAACTTTGGCAGCTTGTGTGGGCCATCTAAATTAGAAAGCAGGTGAAAATTATAATTATTTTGGAGGGTGATATCTGACACTGTGTTTGACCAAGGTCTGAGCCTCTGTTGGGGTTCTTACCATTATTTGTAGGAGCTGGACTGCCAGAGATTTCAAGCAGTCAAACATGAACATCCAGTTTCCCTGGGTGTATGGTATCTATTACAACTGGCCCAACAGGACATGATCCTGGACAACTGATTCTAGATGACCCTGCTTGAGTAAGAATTGGACAAGATGACCTTCAGAGGTCCCTTCCAACCACAAACCTACTGCATTCCTGTGATTTTAGCTGGTTAGGCTGCAATAAATCACAACTTTTCCACTTCCTGAATGAGTAAACAGCAATCTCCCAAAAAGCATCTCCACTACATCCTCTTCTAATTATTCATTTCAAGGAAAGCAGTTAGGTGGTTGTTTTCTGAGAAGCTCATTTATTGATTGATACACTGGGCCTACTCTGAGCAAGAAGAAAGGGATTGACTAAGGAAAGCAGAGATGACTCATACAAGAATCTCAAAGGGGCTGATCTGGAACATATCAATATCCACCTTGCTGAAATACAGACTGCTGTGGACATCCAGGCAGAAATTTGAGTGCCTACAGAACTAATTAGGCACTTTAAGAACTGCACATTTTCAATCAAGTGAAAAAAAAGACATAGCACCTGCTGGCTAGGTATTTGGTGTTTACCTTATCAAAATGAGAGTTACTAGGATGATAAAATACAATTAATTTTTATCTACCATTTTTTAAGATCTGAAGTATAACTAAGTTAAGTTAAAATTCCGTGGCAAATAGGTAATTTGAAGTAATTTCTGGGAAAAACTTGAACAACATCTGAAACGTACTCTGCCTATTAGTTATTCTTATCTAAAGACTACATTTTTCTCTTGATCTTAGAAAATCTTTACTTGTTTTCTATCTTTAAATGCTCACTCCTCATATGCAGCACCCTAATTCTGTAAATAGAGAACTGAAATATCTGAGTTAAGTGATGTTAAATACAAGGCAGCAATGTTATCATCAACACACGATGAAGCCTCTTTAGCATGTTTTTATTACCTTGTACTACTCTATAAATTTTATGTCAACCAACTCAGCAGATGATAAGTAACTATTAAACTCTGGTTCTGCAATCCAAAGTATAGTTTGAGAGATCCAAAATAACATTAAAATCTTGGACTGGCTGGAAGAATCAGTCACATATTCCACTTCCACCTAAAACTAGTGGCATGTATCAGTGCCTTAACATTGGCTTGCTTGAGGGATGTTCCCCTTGAAGGGAAATATGGTAGAAGCTTGGAAAAAGAATAAAAATATTTGAATTAAATTCTAAATATGTATTTCAATTATTAGAACTATTAGTTTAAATTCAAGAACTCCTTGTGTGTAAGACTTTACATCCTCCAACATGTTTCTAGACTATGGAATATTCTAGAAAAGTATACATGGAAAAAATTAAAAAACTACAGAGAAAAAGCATTGAGCATATCAAATGTTTAAGAACTTCATTCTGGTTGCACATGAGCCTGTTCTCATTTACACACTTCACTTTCTTCAAAGTATCCTGAGTCACTTCCTCTCCAACCTGCAATCAAAGTAGCCTCCTGCACTTTCTGTTCATATCCCCTGGGGCTATTTCTTTTCAGCTTACTAGAAGTTAAATTTATTACACCTTATAAAACCTCCTTATAAGTAACACTCAATAATGGGTAATTTTTTTGAACTAATTGCTAAGATCTCTACTGTACATTTTCATAGGATTATTTGGAATGTTATCATAGAGATAAACTATGACAGGCATGAACTTGCAAAGATGCAAGTCTATCCCATATTCACTAATGCTGTCAGTAAACAGTGGGGGAGTTAAACACCTTTTCATTCATCTTTCCTCAAAGCTTGTAACATTTATTCTTCCTGTAGGTTGCATAAACCACTTAGAACTTAACCATATCTAAAACAAAGAATAAAAATAATATTCTTCTAAACAAACTTCTGATCAGTTTAAAACTCAGAATTACCCAAATTGCATTCCCCTATTAGCTACAATTTAAATTTATGCAACCATTCTGAAGCTAAAAAAGCCAAGAAGTATCTTCTCCTTCAAATTTACATAAGATTATGCAGGTATAGTCTTTAACTAAAAATTTACCGCTAGTTTTAGCAATATATTGCTTTGGATTACAATAATTAATGATTGTTCTTTTCTGCAGCACTGCAACATTAGAATTAGTTTTTAAATAAAAATTGTTATTATTATTATTATTAATTCAACAAAAATATTGATCTCTGGAAAATCTATTTAAATTCTATTGAAAATTACTACTATAATTTTTATAATCCAGCTGACGGTACTAATGAAAAATTTAAAGGTACTGAAAGTGTAAGTAGACAAGACCATGATGATTAGACTTCATCAGAAGGTCCAGTATGGACGCATGGGAGCTGTGTATACAGAAAAAAGCTGCATGTTATTACCTAAATTGTGTTTATAAACTACAGATACTGAAAAACCTTACAGAAACCGGCAGGTTTGTAATGACAT